ATCGCCGGCACTTGGTTGGTCCCAGCGGGGTGACTTGGCTCCTGGGTCGGCAGGGCTGGCGCCTGGCCACCAAGTCGCCCTGAGCTGGAGGGGGCCGTGGGGGGTCGGGGCTGGGCTTCAGAATCTGGGGAACACCTGCTACGTGAATGCAGTGCTGCACTGTCTGAGCCACACGCCACCCCTGGCCCGCTGGAATGTGTCCCAGCAGCACGCCACCCTCTATCCGGCTCGAACCTCCTGCACGCTCTGTGCTGGGCGAGCTCACGTGACCCGAACCCTCCTTCACCCGGGAGAGGTGATCCGGCCCCGCAAGGACCTGCCGGCGGGCTTCCACAGACACTAGCAGGAAGATGCCCACGAGTTTCTGATGTTCACTCTGAATCCCATGCAGCGAGGGTGCTTGAGTGCATCCCAGCCGTCGGGCCATCCCTCCGAGGACACCACCCTCATCCGTCAGATCTTCGGCGGGACTTGCAGCTCTCAGATCCAGTGTGTCCACTGCCTCGGTGTCTCAGACACGTTCGACCCTTATCTGGACATCAGCCTGGATACCACCGCGGCTCAGAGTGTGGAGCAAGCTCTGAGAGAGCTGGTGAAGCCCGAGAAGCTGGACGTTGAAAATGCCTATGACTGTGGCGTTTGTCTCCGGAAAGTGCCTGCCACCAAGAGGTTGACTTTGCACAGGACGTCCCAGGTCCTGGTGCTGGTGCTGAAGCGGTTCACACAGGTGAGCGGGGCCAAAAGGGCTCAGGAAGTGCGCTATCCCCAGTGCCTCGACCTGCAGCCCTTCACGTCTGAGCGGAAAGCAGGGCCACTGGGCTACGTGCTCTATGCCGTGCTGGTGCACTCTGGGTGGAGTGGTGAGCGAGGACATTACTTTTCTTTCGTGCGAGCGGGCAACGGCCAGTGTTATAAGATGGGCGATGCCAAGGTGACGGCCTGTGATGAGAGTGCTGCCCTGAGCCAGGGCGCCTACATCCTCTTCTACTCCCGGGAGGGTGCGTGGCAAGGGGGTGCTGGGGGAGGGTCTGCGGCCCCCCTCACGCCTGACCCCACACACCCCGGGGAACCTGACCCTGCCGGCCCCGGGGAGCCTGTGGGCGAAGCCAGCGGCAGAGCTCCTGGGACACAGGTGTCCCCGGGGGCCACAGAGGTCGAAGGAATCAGCTTAGAGCAGTGGAGACGCCTAAAAGAGCACAACCGGCCGAAGACGGCCTCCGACCTCTGGAAGATCCAGTCGGCCCTGCCTGCCGGCCCAGTCGTGATTCACCAGTCCAAACACGGAGCAGGGAGAAACGGCAAGCTGCCCGAAGAGGAGCACGACCGGCTCGACCGTTCCAGCATGCACAGCCCGCCTCCGGGCCCAATGAGCGTTGGCAACGGCCCTTGTGCCAGCGGGAGGGCCCGAGCGACCAAGAGGAAAAACAAGAAGCCGCGGCCATCTCTGGGGCTGTGGCGGTAGGTAGGCTCTGAGGCACATGCCTGCAGAAGCCCAGGCACACTCTGCGTGCGGCACGGCCTGTGTGACCCACCAAGAGTTCCTGCGAGGAGCGAGTTCCTCTCGGCGGTGTGGCTGGTGCAGCCTCCTGGAAAAAGGCGGGGCCTGCAGTGTGCCCGGGGCCACGCTGTTCACCTGGACGGTGCTGAGGGGCCAAGCTCTCGACGTCTGGCTCTGATGGCAAGTGACTGGAGAGGATGGGGTGCGTGACCGGGTCTGAGCACAGTCTGAGTGCCTCGCCCTTCTCCGGGGCTGGGAGAGTCCTCTCTGGATGGGACTTTGGGTGTGGCTTTGCCTTTCTTTCCCCGTCTGCCTTCTCTGGCCACACCGCTGGCCTCTGGCCTCTGGCGAGTGAGGAGGCAGGGAGACCCCTCCCAGCACGCCCACAGCCAGCCGAGCAAGGAGGCGATCTCCTGAGCCCTGTGGGGGGCAGGGAGGAGCGGGTGCAGGTCTGTGAATCGTCTCCTTCTGGCCTGCCAGGCTCTCGAAAATGCCCCAAGCATTGAGCAGGGTCCGCGCAGAAGATGGGCGACCAGGCTCTACGGGTGGAATGTCCTTGGGAGCCATTGGGAAAGTGCTACTTGGGAAAGGGACCTCCGGAAGGAATGACGCGGGGGATCTGTTCGTCACCGGCGGGACACGCGTGCGCAGAGTTGCCTGGGGCTCCTTTTCTGGTGCAAGGAGTATGCTGAAGAACCTCCAAGTGCCCAACGGGAGAAGCGATTCACGGTGCCATGAGTACCACCACCAGGTCCACCGCCTCCACCACGAAGGCCAAGGGGAGAAAGGCAACCCAGCGAGTCCCAAAGAAACTTCTCCACCATCATGGCACAGGTGCCTACGTGGAGATGGGTCATGTAACGGTTCCTTTCTGAAAGCAAAGGTCCTCCGTGCACTGAGGAAAGACCCAAGCCTGCCCTAGATTGTGAGAGCAAGACAACTGGACATCCGAATCTGCCCATCCTATCTGTCAGTCAGTTGTCTCGTTCAGCTTGGCCCCGGACAAACGCCGCTGGACGGGATGAGTCACAGCCGGCCTCTGAAGTGTCTGGGATGGTGGGGAAACTGTCCTCTCCTAGCTGCTTTCCCGCCTGCCTCGTGGTCCCGCGACCTGGTGGAGGGGCGCCCGAGGACCCTTATCGATCCCCTCTTGCGGTTTCTTTCTTTCTCTTCGTTGCCGGCTTCAAACCCAAAACCCTCCATCAAACGGTGGACCTGGAATTTGCGATTTAGCATCTCAGACCTAGAGGGACAGCTGAGGCTCCTGAATGTGCTAGTCGGCTTGGCATGGAACAGAGAACTTTCCGCTGGCTTCTTCCCCCCGCACGGTTACCTGTAACGCACCGTGGCCTCCACATGCAGAGAGGAAAAAAAATGATGAGCGGTATCTTCCCCCAAGAACTCGAAAAAGTGTGCCCTGGATGAGGAAGTCGAGCCACCCACAGGCCACCCTCATTATCACCACCAATCTTCCTCTGCCCCATCGCCTCAAACGGACTTACTGCTTGCCCCATCCACACGCTCTGAAGAAGAAGAAGGAGAAGGAGGTGAAGATGGTGAAGAAAGAGAAGAAGGAGAAGAACGGTGATTGGAATGGCGTGGCAGAGGGAATGGAAATGTCGCCTGATGCTGGGGGAAATGCATGCAAAAGAGAGACAAAAACGGGCTGATCTGGTTTCTCTGTGCCATGGGAAGGAGGCAAAAAGACAGCAAGGTTGTGAGCACATGCATCATAAAGCACAAAGCAGTAGGGTCCTGGGATGGGATGGGGCAGCGGGAGGTGGGAGCGGTGCAACAGGCTAAGGGAAAAGCAGGGTCAGGGCCATCTTTTCCTAGTAAGGATCAACGGAATCAACACGTCAGCTATGGGTAACCCATGGCCTGTTGAACGGCCTTTCTGGAAGGCAAGCATAATGTCCAGGTCGGGACAGCAAACAAACATACATGTCACACACCAAGAAGGAAACCAACAGTCATCCTCCTCCAGGAGGAAATCTGTTTATACCTTAAGGTATAGTGCATTTTGAGCCCCTCAATTGGAAAGATGACTCTAGAAATCAACTACTGTAACTAATGTAGAAAAAGAGAATGAAAACCTGCAAAAAAAATAAATAATAATAATAATGAAATGAATGAAAAATACAAAAAAAAAAAAAAAAAAAGAAATTGAAAAATGAACGAAAACAGACACACACAGAAAAGAAGTAGAAAGAAATAACGCAAAAGACCATTAAGATTGAAAAGGAGTTGAAGAAGTGAATCGAAAGGTGCAGCGAGCCTATGGCTTTCTGAAGGAGCTCCCTGTGGACCATGACCAAAAACCCTGAAGGGAGAAAAGCATATGTGCTACACTCGCGGCATCTTTTGGTGCTAGGACCCTGAACGCTAGAAGAGTGGCTAGTGAGAAGGCATAGAAATGGCAGTGGACCTCAGTCGAGGGCAAAGTTGAGGCAAGGGTTTCTTGTTGTCCGGGGAGGGGTTGTCCTCAGGCAGGGGTCTGGGGTGGGGAGACCCCTCGAGGGGAGAGGGTAGGTGGGCAGACATATGTTTCCACAAGTGTGGTAGGATCTGAAGGGTGAGCCCACGGAATTCCTCCCCAGCCCGCATGTGTGTGCTGAACTTGGAAGCCCTGCAGTGACGCTCTAGCAGGCAAGTCTGGAAAGCCCAAGGCCCCCCAAATCATTTACATCCTGAGCCCTTGGGTCCAGGGCCAGATCGGAAGTGCGTGCGGGGCTTCGTCATGGGGAATTCCCCGAGAAAAGTGTCGGTGGTGGGATGTCGGGAGTGGGAGTGAGGACGCCCTCGGACGCCTCAGCCAATGAGGAGCTTGCGCGTGCTTGGGGGTGGGGCTGTGGGAGGCCATCAAAGGACCGAGGAGGCGGGGCCCAGGCCCCTTCTAAAAGAAGCACCATCTGAGGGAATGAGGCATCGTCGTGCAGCTGCAGGTAGGAGATGGAAAACACTCGTGGGCCTTGTTTGCATAGACCCGGGGGCTACTTCTGCGCACGGGGGTGGTGCGTGTCCGTCTCCCTTCCACGTCCTCCCCAGAGGGCAAGGTAGTCGGCCCAGCGCCGCTGGTGCGGATGCCCTTCGGGGACCCTCTGTCCCTGAGGTGTCATCGCCGGCACTTGGTTGGTCCCAGCGGGGTGACTTGGCTCCTGGGTCGGCAGGGCTGGCGCCTGGCCACCAAGTCGCCCTGAGCTGGAGGGGGCCGTGGGGGGTCGGGGCTGGGCTTCAGAATCTGGGGAACACCTGCTACGTGAATGCAGTGCTGCACTGTCTGAGCCACACGCCACCCCTGGCCCGCTGGAATGTGTCCCAGCAGCACGCCACCCTCTATCCGGCTCGAACCTCCTGCACGCTCTGTGCTGGGCGAGCTCACGTGACCCGAACCCTCCTTCACCCGGGAGAGGTGATCCGGCCCCGCAAGGACCTGCCGGCGGGCTTCCACAGACACTAGCAGGAAGATGCCCACGAGTTTCTGATGTTCACTCTGAATCCCATGCAGCGAGGGTGCTTGAGTGCATCCCAGCCGTCGGGCCATCCCTCCGAGGACACCACCCTCATCCGTCAGATCTTCGGCGGGACTTGCAGCTCTCAGATCCAGTGTGTCCACTGCCTCGGTGTCTCAGACACGTTCGACCCTTATCTGGACATCAGCCTGGATACCACCGCGGCTCAGAGTGTGGAGCAAGCTCTGAGAGAGCTGGTGAAGCCCGAGAAGCTGGACGTTGAAAATGCCTATGACTGTGGCGTTTGTCTCCGGAAAGTGCCTGCCACCAAGAGGTTGACTTTGCACAGGACGTCCCAGGTCCTGGTGCTGGTGCTGAAGCGGTTCACACAGGTGAGCGGGGCCAAAAGGGCTCAGGAAGTGTGCTATCCCCAGTGCCTCGACCTGCAGCCCTTCACGTCTGAGCGGAAAGCAGGGCCACTGGGCTACGTGCTCTATGCCGTGCTGGTGCACTCTGGGTGGAGTGGTGAGCGAGGACATTACTTTTCTTTCGTGCGAGCGGGCAACGGCCAGTGTTATAAGATGGGCGATGCCAAGGTGACGGCCTGTGATGAGAGTGCTGCCCTGAGCCAGGGCGCCTACATCCTCTTCTACTCCCGGGAGGGTGCGTGGCAAGGGGGTGCTGGGGGAGGGTCTGCGGCCCCCCTCACGCCTGACCCCACACACCCCGGGGAACCTGACCCTGCCGGCCCCGGGGAGCCTGTGGGCGAAGCCAGCGGCAGAGCTCCTGGGACACAGGTGTCCCCGGGGGCCACAGAGGTCGAAGGAATCAGCTTAGAGCAGTGGAGACGCCTAAAAGAGCACAACCGGCCGAAGACGGCCTCCGACCTCTGGAAGATCCAGTCGGCCCTGCCTGCCGGCCCAGTCGTGATTCACCAGTCCAAACACGGAGCAGGGAGAAACGGCAAGCTGCCCGAAGAGGAGCACGACCGGCTCGACCGTTCCAGCATGCACAGCCCGCCTCCGGGCCCAATGAGCGTTGGCAACGGCCCTTGTGCCAGCGGGAGGGCCCGAGCGACCAAGAGGAAAAACAAGAAGCCGCGGCCATCTCTGGGGCTGTGGCGGTAGGTAGGCTCTGAGGCACATGCCTGCAGAAGCCCAGGCACACTCTGCGTGCGGCACGGCCTGTGTGACCCACCAAGAGTTCCTGCGAGGAGCGAGTTCCTCTCGGCGGTGTGGCTGGTGCAGCCTCCTGGAAAAAGGCGGGGCCTGCAGTGTGCCCGGGGCCACGCTGTTCACCTGGACGGTGCTGAGGGGCCAAGCTCTCGACGTCTGGCTCTGATGGCAAGTGACTGGAGAGGATGGGGTGCGTGACCGGGTCTGAGCACAGTCTGAGTGCCTCGCCCTTCTCCGGGGCTGGGAGAGTCCTCTCTGGATGGGACTTTGGGTGTGGCTTTGCCTTTCTTTCCCCGTCTGCCTTCTCTGGCCACACCGCTGGCCTCTGGCCTCTGGCGAGTGAGGAGGCAGGGAGACCCCTCCCAGCACGCCCACAGCCAGCCGAGCAAGGAGGCGATCTCCTGAGCCCTGTGGGGGGCAGGGAGGAGCGGGTGCAGGTCTGTGAATCGTCTCCTTCTGGCCTGCCAGGCTCTCGAAAATGCCCCAAGCATTGAGCAGGGTCCGCGCAGAAGATGGGCGACCAGGCTCTACGGGTGGAATGTCCTTGGGAGCCATTGGGAAAGTGCTACTTGGGAAAGGGACCTCCGGAAGGAATGACGCGGGGGATCTGTTCGTCACCGGCGGGACACGCGTGCGCAGAGTTGCCTGGGGCTCCTTTTCTGGTGCAAGGAGTATGCTGAAGAACCTCCAAGTGCCCAACGGGAGAAGCGATTCACGGTGCCATGAGTACCACCACCAGGTCCACCGCCTCCACCACGAAGGCCAAGGGGAGAAAGGCAACCCAGCGAGTCCCAAAGAAACTTCTCCACCATCATGGCACAGGTGCCTACGTGGAGATGGGTCATGTAACGGTTCCTTTCTGAAAGCAAAGGTCCTCCGTGCACTGAGGAAAGACCCAAGCCTGCCCTAGATTGTGAGAGCAAGACAACTGGACATCCGAATCTGCCCATCCTATCTGTCAGTCAGTTGTCTCGTTCAGCTTGGCCCCGGACAAACGCCGCTGGACGGGATGAGTCACAGCCGGCCTCTGAAGTGTCTGGGATGGTGGGGAAACTGTCCTCTCCTAGCTGCTTTCCCGCCTGCCTCGTGGTCCCGCGACCTGGTGGAGGGGCGCCCGAGGACCCTTATCGATCCCCTCTTGCGGTTTCTTTCTTTCTCTTCGTTGCCGGCTTCAAACCCAAAACCCTCCATCAAACGGTGGACCTGGAATTTGCGATTTAGCATCTCAGACCTAGAGGGACAGCTGAGGCTCCTGAATGTGCTAGTCGGCTTGGCATGGAACAGAGAACTTTCCGCTGGCTTCTTCCCCCCGCACGGTTACCTGTAACGCACCGTGGCCTCCACATGCAGAGAGGAAAAAAAATGATGAGCGGTATCTTCCCCCAAGAACTCGAAAAAGTGTGCCCTGGATGAGGAAGTCGAGCCACCCACAGGCCACCCTCATTATCACCACCAATCTTCCTCTGCCCCATCGCCTCAAACGGACTTACTGCTTGCCCCATCCACACGCTCTGAAGAAGAAGAAGGAGAAGGAGGTGAAGATGGTGAAGAAAGAGAAGAAGGAGAAGAACGGTGATTGGAATGGCGTGGCAGAGGGAATGGAAATGTCGCCTGATGCTGGGGGAAATGCATGCAAAAGAGAGACAAAAACGGGCTGATCTGGTTTCTCTGTGCCATGGGAAGGAGGCAAAAAGACAGCAAGGTTGTGAGCACATGCATCATAAAGCACAAAGCAGTAGGGTCCTGGGATGGGATGGGGCAGCGGGAGGTGGGAGCGGTGCAACAGGCTAAGGGAAAAGCAGGGTCAGGGCCATCTTTTCCTAGTAAGGATCAACGGAATCAACACGTCAGCTATGGGTAACCCATGGCCTGTTGAACGGCCTTTCTGGAAGGCAAGCATAATGTCCAGGTCGGGACAGCAAACAAACATACATGTCACACACCAAGAAGGAAACCAACAGTCATCCTCCTCCAGGAGGAAATCTGTTTATACCTTAAGGTATAGTGCATTTTGAGCCCCTCAATTGGAAAGATGACTCTAGAAATCAACTACTGTAACTAATGTAGAAAAAGAGAATGAAAACCTGCAAAAAAAATAAATAATAATAATAATGAAATGAATGAAAAATACAAAAAAAAAAAAAAAAAAAGAAATTGAAAAATGAACGAAAACAGACACACACAGAAAAGAAGTAGAAAGAAATAACGCAAAAGACCATTAAGATTGAAAAGGAGTTGAAGAAGTGAATTGAAAGCTGCAGCGAGCCTATGGCTTTCTGAAGGAGCTCCCTGTGGACCATGACCAACAACCCTGAAGGGAGAAAAGCATATGTGCTACACTCGCGGCATCTTTTGGTGCTAGGACCCTGAACGCTAGAAGAGTGGCTAGTGAGAAGGCATAGAAATGGCAGTGGACCTCAGTCGAGGGCAAAGTTGAGGCAAGGGTTTCTTGTTGTCCGGGGAGGGGTTGTCCTCAGGCAGGGGTCTGGGGTGGGGAGACCCCTCGAGGGGAGAGGGTAGGTGGGCAGACATATGTTTCCACAAGTGTGGTAGGATCTGAAGGGTGAGCCCACGGAATTCCTCCCCAGCCCGCATGTGTGTGCTGAACTTGGAAGCCCTGCAGTGACGCTCTAGCAGGCAAGTCTGGAAAGCCCAAGGCCCCCCAAATCATTTACATCCTGAGCCCTTGGGTCCAGGGCCAGATCGGAAGTGCGTGCGGGGCTTCGTCATGGGGAATTCCCCGAGAAAAGTGTCGGTGGTGGGATGTCGGGAGTGGGAGTGAGGACGCCCTCGGACGCCTCAGCCAATGAGGAGCTTGCGCGTGCTTGGGGGTGGGGCTGTGGGAGGCCATCAAAGGACCGAGGAGGCGGGGCCCAGGCCCCTTCTAAAAGAAGCACCATCTGAGGGAATGAGGCATCGTCGTGCAGCTGCAGGTAGGAGATGGAAAACACTCGTGGGCCTTGTTTGCATAGACCCGGGGGCTACTTCTGCGCACGGGGGTGGTGCGTGTCCGTCTCCCTTCCACGTCCTCCCCAGAGGGCAAGGTAGTCGGCCCAGCGCCGCTGGTGCGGATGCCCTTCGGGGACCCTCTGTCCCTGAGGTGTCATCGCCGGCACTTGGTTGGCCCCAGCGGGGTGACTTGGCTCCTGGGTCGGCAGGGCTGGCGCCTGGCCACCAAGTCGCCCTGAGCTGGAGGGGGCCGTGGGGGGTCGGGGCTGGGCTTCAGAATCTGGGGAACACCTGCTACGTGAATGCAGTGCTGCACTGTCTGAGCCACATGCCACCCCTGGCCCGCTGGAATGTGTCCCAGCAGCACGCCACCCTCTATCCGGTTCGAACCTCCTGCACGCTCTGTGCTGGGCGAGCTCACGTGACCCGAACCCTCCTTCACCCGGGAGAGGTGATCCGGCCCCGCAAGGACCTGCCGGCGGGCTTCCACAGACACTAGCAGGAAGATGCCCACGAGTTTCTGATGTTCACTCTGAATCCCATGCAGCGAGGGTGCTTGAGTGCATCCCAGCCGTCGGGCCATCCCTCCGAGGACACCACCCTCATCCGTCAGATCTTCGGCGGGACTTGCAGCTCTCAGATCCAGTGTGTCCACTGCCTCGGTGTCTCAGACACGTTCGACCCTTATCTGGACATCAGCCTGGATACCACCGCGGCTCAGAGTGTGGAGCAAGCTCTGAGAGAGCTGGTGAAGCCCGAGAAGCTGGACGTTGAAAATGCCTATGACTGTGGCGTTTGTCTCCGGAAAGTGCCTGCCACCAAGAGGTTGACTTTGCACAGGACGTCCCAGGTCCTGGTGCTGGTGCTGAAGCGGTTCACACAGGTGAGCGGGGCCAAAAGGGCTCAGGAAGTGCGCTATCCCCAGTGCCTCGACCTGCAGCCCTTCACGTCTGAGCGGAAAGCAGGGCCACTGGGCTACGTGCTCTATGCCGTGCTGGTGCACTCTGGGTGGAGTGGTGAGCGAGGACATTACTTTTCTTTCGTGCGAGCGGGCAACGGCCAGTGTTATAAGATGGGCGATGCCAAGGTGACGGCCTGTGATGAGAGTGCTGCCCTGAGCCAGGGCGCCTACATCCTCTTCTACTCCCGGGAGGGTGCGTGGCAAGGGGGTGCTGGGGGAGGGTCTGCGGCCCCCCTCACGCCTGA